CAAGAAGCCTTCCTGACTTGGGGCCATTTCCCACCAGGGTCACTCACAATGTCTTCCTTCTCTTCCCAGGTGGAGACCATGATTCACCCTCAGTTCCTGGAAGAATCACTTTGCACTGAACCGTATATAAATATTTTGGACCTAACACAAGAGCTGGAGCAGGAGGCAGGACTCATCCCTGACCAGGTAGAGGGGGGAAGCGGTGTTTCCCAGCAGACCAGAGGCAGGAGGTACACCAGTTATCCAAGAGAGGCAGGGGCACCTGATGAACAGGTGCAGGAACACCAGGAGCACCAGGGATTCGGAAGAAACAAAAGGTAGAGCAGCAGAAAGGGGCACCATGTAGAACTATGGAGGTAGAGACACTAGGTTTACTGGGACTTGGAGAAGGACACCAAGTGGATATGGCAGATACCTATCCCTATCCTGCCTGTGACACATGGCTTTGTGAATGTGAATGCTCCAGGACAGAGGATGTAGGTGGGGGAAAAAGGAAGGAGAAGAAGAGTCATGACAGGCTCAGGGTATCAACCTGAAAGGAAGCCCAGCAGGGTGGCCAGTAGAGCCTCAGTTTGTCTCTCTGAGACCAAGACAGGTGTCAGCTCCGCTTCCCACCTCCCATGGAAATATGATTGTCCCTGGTCCCTCTGGCCCTCATCATGCATAAACAAGAGTTAGCCAGTGCCCATCCCCTCCTGAACTGGTGGAGAAGCACCTCTGTACGTGCTCCAAGGTCATGTTATCTCCCAACAGCACTCAAGACCTTTTGAGGCAGCTGCCAGCCAAGATGCAGAGAAACATAAACACTGCACCGACCAAGGAGTCTGCACGCCGAACTGGCCCCCAGAGGTGACTTCCCAGGACCTGAAGAGGCGCAGGGCCACAGAGCCAGAGCTGTGGGTCCAAAGGACACTGCGATCCTCCCAAGCTGTCAAGTGTCTCCCTCACTGGGGGCCATCCGGTCCAACCATCCACCCCAGAACCACAAATCCTCCTCCCTAAACCTGAGGGGAAAGGTGCTGGGGGACACAGAGGAGCCACTTCCTCTGGGTGGCCACATGGGACAGCCAATGGATGCAGTGTGGACGATGTCCTCCAATGCCTGGACTTCCTCCTGGTCTGCCAGCACCATCTGCTGCCCTGGGCTCTGTGCCAGAGCCAGGGCCCTCACATGGAACCCCTCTGCTCAGGAGACCAAGCACCCCAGGCCCCACCTGCCCAGACAGGCAGCCTCATCCCCCATCCTCCTCCAGCT